AGGAAAGGAAAGGAAAGGAAAGGAAAGGAAAGGAAAGGAAAGGAAAGGAAAGGAAAGGAAAGGAAAGGAAAGGAAAGGAAAGGAAAGGAAAGGAAGAAAATGTTCAATAATTACTGGAAACAGGAGGAAGAGGGTAAAGATGAATAAATTATCAGTGTGTAGGTGAGCAGGAAGGTAATCTGGGATCTCTCCCACACTGGACCAAGGCGGGAAGGAGGTTAAAGTCTCCTGTGAGTCCTCGGGTCCAGATGAAGTGTGTGGGATGCTGGGGATGGTGTGAGGAAGAGGATGGTGCAACCCAGAGGAGAAGATGATCCCATCCCATCCCATCCCATCCCATCCCATCCCATCCCATCCCATCCCATCCCAGATCTCTCCCGCGGGAGCTTTGCAGCAGGATTTCTGCCACGTGTCAAAAACCAAATCCCAGCTCGTCCCAACTCACTCCTCCCATCAGAACGCGAAGGAATGAAATAAACAGATAAAAAGCCATCTTTCGCAGCCCCCTTTGTGGATGAAGGCGCAGGGCAGGGCGAGCAAGGTGTGCTGAGTACTGAGAGTGTCCCAGCTCTGGGAGACGGGATGTGGCGAGTGACAGATGTGGGCTGCGAAGGCAGATGTGTGGCTGCTGCATGAGAAACTGCGATTTTAATGCAAGCAGAAACATCCAAAAAATAAAAATATGGAGCCAAGTGAAACAGCGAGGCTGGAACAAGATGTTTCCTTTGGAGGAAAACCTGCTGGCGTGAGAGGAGCAGCGCGAGGATGAGGGGATGCAAAGGAATGGCTTTCCAGCACTCAGGGCGCAGCTCTTCCATTGGAAGCTCCCTATGGGCATTGGGCTGCGTGTCCTGGCCACGGTGACCATCGTGACAGGTCCCCATCCATCCTCTCCTAGCCCCATGAGGCACTGTCCTCCCCGCTGCACAAATTGCTTTGGAATATATATATATTTTCTATCGTTATTATGTTTTGTTTTGTTTTGTTTTGTTTTGTGATGTTTTGTTTTGTTTTATTTTATTATTTAGCCGGGTAAAAGTCCTGGATCTGGGAACTGCCCGGAGCTCCAGATTCGGAGATGCAGGTGGGGAGGAAATAATTAAATTGATTAATTTAATGGATTAATCAGATCTGCCAGCCAAATCCTAAGCTTGGCTTCCAGAAGGAACGGGAACTGGGCCCATCCTCACCTCTCAGTGCAGATGAGTGGCCCTGGGCAGGTCATTTCACTTCTTTTTGCCTTTTTTTYCCCCAGTATATAGCAGTATATATCTCTATTTACGCTACGGTGGGGAACTCCACCTTGGTGCCATGACAGAGAAGCTACATGTCAAGCAGATGAGCATCAAATAACAAACAAAAAAGACTGATGGGCAGGGAAGAGAGATAAGAAAGATGGTATTTATTTGTAGAGCCGCAGGAATTGAGGGATTGAAAAATGACTACCAAAAAAAAAAAAGAAAGCGTGTGGATATTTTATACCTCAGGTGGCAAATCCCGTGCGAGAGCACCCAGTCCCGGCCCGGCCAGGAACATCATTTCTTGGCCTTGTCGCGCGGGTAGGTGCCGTTGGTCTTGTTAAGTGACTCCATGCTGCCGGCTCCCGTTCCCACGCTGGCGAGCATCCGCTCCACCTCTCCCGGCAGGATCTGCTTCTCCTCGTTCTCCGTCTCGCGGTGGTAGAAGTAGTTGAAGTTGGACACGATGACGGGCACGGGAAGGGCGATGGTCAAGACGCCGGCGATGGCGCACAGAGTCCCCACAATCTTGCCGCCCAACGTGGTGGGGCACATGTCTCCGTAGCCCACGGTTGTCATCGTCACCACGGCCCACCAGAAGCCATCAGGGATGCTGGAGAAGTGGGACTGCGGCTCGTCCACTTCGGCAAAGTAGATGGCGCTGGAGAAGAGGATGACGCCGATGAAGAGGAAGAAGATGAGCAGGCCCAGCTCCCGCATGCTGGCCTTGAGGGTCTGCCCCAGGATCTGCAGCCCCTTGGAGTGCCGCGAGAGCTTGAAGATGCGGAACACCCTGACCAAGCGGATGATCCGCAGGATGGCTAAGGACATGTTCTGCTGCCCGTTGAGCTCACTCTGCTGGATCAGCTCGGTGGTGAGCGTCACAAAGTAGGGGATGATGGACACAATGTCGATGATGTTCATGATGTTCCTGAAGAACTCGGTCTTGCTGGGGCACACGATGAAGCGGACCAAGAGCTCGAAGGAAAACCAGATGATGCAGGCAGTCTCTATGACGAAGAAAGGGTCCGTGAAGGTGCTGTGAGTTAGCAAGGTGTCTGTTGCGTTCCTAGCAAGCTCGCTGGGGGACTTAAACTCTCTTTCTTCCCTGAACTCTGGCAAGGTCTCCATGCAGAAGATGATGATGGAGATGACGATGACCAGGACAGAGACCAAAGCTACACCCCTGGCTGCACTGGAGCTTTCRGGGTACTCGAAGAGCAGCCAGAATTGCCTATGAAATTCATTGGTTGGTAAGAGAGTCTCAGGGTCCTTGATAAACCCCTCGTCCTCCCTGAACTGGTCCATGGCTTCATCACCCAGCTCGTAGAAGGTGATTTCATCAGCAAAGACGTCGATGGGGACATTGGCTGGGCGCCGGATTTTCCCACCGGACTGGTAATAGTACAGGATCCCATCAAAACTGGGCCTGTTCCTATCAAAGAAATACTCATTTCTCATAGAGTCAAAGTACCTCATCCTCTTCTCGGGGTCTCCAAGTAAGGTCTCGGGAAACTGGTTGAGGGTCTTGAGCCGCGTCTCAAACCTGAGCCCAGCAATGTTGATGATGACGCGCTGATCCCCCTCGTCCATGCCCACCCGCTCCCCCACCAGGTGCTCGCTGAACTCCGCCGAGAACCGGGAGAAGATGGTCTCATTGTTGGCGTTCTCACTGTTGATGAGGATCCTCCAGTTGGAGAGGAGGTTGGCGCAGCTGGAGTGGCCTTTGCGTGACTGGCCAGCGGGGCTGAGGTCGTTTGAATAACAGGGATCCTCCACGATCTGGTCCGCGTTGTCAAAACTGACTAGTGCCACCTCCATCTCCTTCCAACTGGACACGTCCATCATACACTAATCAGATTAGCAGCGTAAATCCCTGGGTTGGGTCCCAGCAGCTCGTCCCTTTCCCACGCTATGAGGATCTGCAAGTGAAGGGACACGGAGACAGGGATGAATTGTGCGTGCT